TTTACTCTCGTATGGCGAAAGACTGTATATCTCTTTCAATTTGGATTGAGCTCTCGGGCTATTTTCCCTTACGCGTGGTATAAATTTTGATATGATTTGTACCAAGACCAATTAGGCAAAACATGGAACATTTCCTTTACATTTTATCTCTAAGAAACAAATATACAAGTTTTTCTTTTGCTTGAGCCTTTGTTTAGCGTATTCTTTTGAAATCGTATGATATTGTTTTGTGCCTCAGCTAATACTCGAGAACCCATGTGACTTTACCTTAGCTTTTAACGCAATCTTTTGCATTCAAATTACATTGTTTTCGGTTTCGACTTGTCCTTTAGAAGTTATCTTACCCTGACATGTATTTCAACATACTCTTTTGAAGTCACGTGATGTTGTTTTAGGTTTCAGCTTATTGTATTGAAGCTACGTTATACCATTTTAGCCTTTAAAGTGACGCAACATCGCCTTAGGTTCCAGTGTATTCCTTTGAAGTGATATGACAATACTTTGAATTTGAGTACACTTTGTCGAAATAAAAAAAATATTTGTGTTTAAGCTTATTCACATAACACTGCTTTCTCAACTGCGGTTGAACCATTTTTTAATAGAATTTGACGAAATTAATTTTTTACTATCTAACTAATGGACCTGTGCTATTTTTTATTTTGATGAAGGCACATTCATTATATCAAGAACATTTCTATCTACAAATTCATCTGTAGGGGTTATTTTTCTTTAGATTTAGAGCTTTCAGTTGTCCTTTGCGCTATCCTTCTGGTATTATATAATTATTGTATCTGAATCATTTAAAAAGAAATATTGACTTTTTACTTTGTCATAATTTCTTTAACAAAGTTGTTACTGAAGCTATGAACACTGTATTATCATATTGCTAGCTATGACAGACCTGTTAGAAATATCAGTGATCTTGGTTTAAGTTTGACTGTTATCAATCACAAAGTTACAAAATGGACTATCTGTGCTCTTGCTTTTCACGGGTATCGAAATCCGATTTTTAGCGTTGTAAGTCTGCAAACTTACTGCTGAGCCACTGGGGAGTAGTACCAGTGATGACAACTCGAGTGCGTTTGTTTGACTAAACCATATATATTTTTCATATTCTGTCATTATATTGGCTTAACACCAACACTGCATATTACATAAGTATTAGGGAAAAAATTATCTATGTAGGGCTGGCTACTGAACTTGAAAAAAGGAACCAGACAGGATATGGATGGAAGTGGATATATCACTTGATCCGGCTAATGATCACATAGCAAACTAAGCCGTTTCAACCTTATACGGAGAATAAAATCCCTACATTACTGGCTTCCCCAATTTGTCTACAGAATGCTTGTTGTTTGAATAGAATCTCAGCTTTTATAATTATACCCTTTCTTTAGTTAACATTAGAATACAACTTTTATAATTATTTTACAATAGAGTAACATATTAAGAATGGAACTTCTGGTTGTATTTGTTTTGCCAGTGATCTAGGGATGTTATTCTGCACGTAAAGTCGACACGACTTAAGCTGCTATGTGATCATTAGCCGATCAAATGATGTGTCCACGTATATTCCTGTCTTGTTTGGTTCCTTTTTTCAAGTTCAGTAGCCAACCCTACATAGCTTTTTATTCAGCGATAATTCTTTCCTAATATTTGTTTGTTTACCTTTTTTTATAAGATGGCTATGTGGGTTACTAGGTTATAGAGTGTATTCTAAAGCTTTATCAATTTTGAACATAATAATAATAATAAAATAGGTAGTCAAAGGTCATAAACACTGTTTTGCCCTATCAAATGATGATAAAATTATAGTTACTATTAGAATTGCTAGTCATATTGAAGAATGATGATGATGAACGAAAATAAGAAATCTCGGTTTTGGCTATTCGCCGGTTTTCGACCTTGGGACGCTCTGGATAGTTGAAAAGCGGCAAATACACGGAGATAGAACAACTATACAAGGTAGCTCTTCATATCTAGCTTCTGATTACTTTTGTATTGCTTTAATACGGGCGTCCGTGCCATCCTTACATAGAGAGTGCTAGCGCCCTCTCCGATAATATGAAAAAAACTAAAATCAAGGTAAAGTCTTTAGTTCCTTTATAGTTATTGAAAATCTGATATAAAAATTCCTGTTTGACCAAAAAATGAATAAAAGTAAAAGATAGAGAGAAACTTATAAAAATCAAACAGAAGATTGGTGCATGATTATATCTCAGTTTCTGATTGGTTAAAACGAACGGATTTGTTGGAATAAAAACCGATCACCCAACTCTTCGTCCTTAGTCTTTATTCAACATCCTTTTTGTTGTCGACACCTTTTCTTGTGCTTACCTAAACGCATGTCTCTGGGTGTCATTAATACACTGACGCCATCATTATTTGTCACATAATCTGGTTCAAGACACGGACATAATTCAAGAAAACAGCAACAATATTACAAGTTCGTACTCTTACTAACAAATAGTTCTGTATTTCTCCAAAGCACAAACTATTCTCTTCCACAGAAACTCTAACAAACACTTAAAGAATATATCAAGTTACTATTTTACAACATCAAATTAGCCATCAAATATCCTTTAAGTTTCTAGAAATTATATTCAACAGCAAACTAGCTTGGTCAAGACACGTAAGTGATTGAATAATGAAAACAAGAAAACATATTTCTTACGAAAAGGGGAATGGCACATTAACAGGATGCACATCCTCAACCATCATACTACACATGTGTAAGGAATAAGTTCGAATCTTCTAGAATACAGTGGCTGTTTGACTACATAAAGTGAATGGCACATTAACAGGATGCACATCCTCAACCATCGTAATACACATGTGCAAAGTATAAGTTCGAATCTTCTAGAATATAATGGCTGCTTGACTACATAAAGTGAATGGCACATCCTCAACCATCATAATACACACGTTTAAATTATACGTTAGAATCTTCTAGAATAGAATGGCTTCTTGGTCACAACAAGTGCACATTAAAAAGATACGCATCCTCAACCATCATAATACACATATATAAAGTATACATTTCAAATATGCTAAAATACAATGTTTGTTTGATCAAATGTTCCATGTCTTTCTTCAAAACAGATCAATTAAGCTGAATCTAGGATCCGTTTACTATCATTTTTGGTTACCTTTATAAATGGTTTAAATTGTAAACCATTAAAGGTAAGCAAGTAACTGCTTTCACAAAGCCACGACCAGAAACTCTTTAACAGTCCTCTTTTTCAGTTCAATGCCTCCTTCTTGACAGAGCCACATATCTAAGAAATTAGAAAAATAACGTGTGATTGTACCTCTGGCTGCTATAACTGCTTTAATTCTTTATATTAATGTACAAGTACCTGAAAGGTATGCTGAGGTATTAAGTTCCATTCATCGAGGACACAATTTGATATAAAGCACGGCGGTTCGGTCACTTCTGGTGATCTTCCAAACACTTTTACATTTGCCTGATGAGACTTACTGGTTAATTGCCATGTTATAATAACATTTTATAGTGTTTCTCTTACAAATAAAGGGAGCTGTGCAGCTTGAATTAATAAATAACAAATTAATCAGTCAGCTCGAGTTCTAGTCTGTTTAACATCTGGGGAAGAATGAGCTCATCTGAATTTTATTTATCGTCCAATCCTTGTACATCTATTCACATAAAAACTGCATCTCTCTATATAACACACGTAACCTATAACTCGCCTTCTTCACCTCATTCCAGCCTATTTCATCCCATCTTTGTCTTTAACATAATACCATCTCTCTGTATAACTTATATCATCATGTATTAATATTTTCCATTTTTGCATAATTTATTATCTCAGTATAATATATTACTTTTAAGTAGTGGCGTGAACACAGATGACATTCATCTCTGGTCAACCCTGGACTCCACGTAAGTCCTTGCCTGGAAAAAAATGTGTAACCACTGTTATTCTTAATAATAAATTGACGATTTATAAACATAATGAAGCGATTTTATTTTGGAGAACATAATACATTAAAATTTATGGTTTCCTTTTGGTGCCACAATAGACAGGTTAAGAGATTGTGGAAGAGAAAAAACATCAACAGTTAAAGAAGCTAGGCTTCTTGTTCCAGGAGTTGGTCAGACAACCACAACGTCAAAGGGAGAAAACTATATTAGTGATTCTAAGAACTTTAGAGTGAAAACAAAGAAAAATAGTTAAAAATTCTTACGAGATGTTTCTTTATATACTTAAACGTGGAATTTAAATCTATGTATCTAATTAACAGTTTAATACATATCCAGTGTTCTAGAAATATTCGCCATATCAAAATCCTACACTTTTTATGTCTTGTTCATCTCGTTGATTACTGTTTCTTTCTACTGATACTTTAAAAATCAACTCTAATAGATAGTAAAATAGAATTAGGCTTCAGAAACTTCTGTAAAGTTTGCTTATTGAAATTTGTCCAAAGGTAATCGAAGGTTATCTTCTCCATCCATAACTAACTTAGGAATGATGGAGTAGAGGGAAAGCAGCTTGTCAGCACCAACTCATGAACTGTTTTAATCGTATCGATGGATTGACCATCACATTATAGCGCCTCAACAGCAAAACGGACGAACATGTTCAGTGATGGGATTCGAGCCCGCGGCCTTCAGATTGCTAATTGAGTTCACTAATCTCCAGACCATGCCAGGCAACTTCTGAAAAGAAAAAGAAAAATATGTTCGTTTGTTTGAAGTTAAGCACAAAGGTATAAAATGGGCTATCTGTGCTTTGCCCATCACGGGTATCGAAACCCGGTTTCTAGCGTTGTAAGTCTGTAGACATACCGCTGTGCCACTAGGGGGAAGAAAAATATAACACTTAAGTAAATTAGGTTTGAAGCATTATTATGTATGTTGAGAAGTATTCTTACTTTGATCGTGATATTTAGCTATAGATCTCAGTCTTAACATTCTATAATCTTGTCACGAACACATTAGTGATGTATTAAGTTCATATTGTTTCGTGTTTCAGGTATGGCAACTCAGCTGAAGAGCGGATACATGCTTAGATATAAAAGTAAGTATGCTTTCAACCATTCTGGATACTGTTCCCATTACCATCTTACCAATTCTGCCTGCTTAACTTGATTATTTAATCTGTTGCTATGCATATATTGGTTTAAAAGAAAATGTTAAAATATTTCCAACAAAATATGGAAAGACCTTTAAAGGATATACGCTATAAAAATTTTCAAGAAGTTTTTTATGTACAAATGAGTATAATCATAAGCGTTCTTATTGTGTTGTATACCACCAGAAAGTATTTTTAAGGACCATATTTGCCGAATTCGTAAACGAACAACCGTTAAACTAAATTAATTGTTTTAAACATAAACACGTGATATTACCCGAATGCCAGGGAAATGGCGTCAAATATAACGATGCTTATAAGTTTATTAAATAAAAACGAAGGTCTATTTTTCACGTGTAGCATTTCCACTAAATGTTATAAAAACAAGTTAACTGGAGATGTTTTTCCACATTCCTCTTAATTTGTGCATTGCGGTTCGAACTCAGAAGTGTGTCAAAATAGCGTTTCAGAATTGTCTTTTTGGTGAAAAAAAAAACCATCTGCAGTCATTGGCGCCCACAGAATCCTTTTCGGGGGGGGGGGGACATGTATGCATGGGATCAGCTTTTACAGTGTAAATCAACACACTGAAAGATATGTGTTGTATGTGATTAAACACAAACTCAAATTTACAGTTTTACTAAAATTACTAAAAATATTTGGTCTAACTACAATGTTAGTTTACATCATAATACGTGCAATTTTTTGTGAAATGTAAGGGGGCAAATTCCCCCTTTTTTCCCTTCCTGTAGGCGCCCATCTCTGCAGTTACCTTGTTTTTATAATAATTTTCGACCTATTCGTTTTCCAATATTTCTTCGGTTTTTGGAATTTAAACCTTAACTTTTGAACCATTTCTAGTATTATTTGCAAAAATGGAAAAATATAGAAGCCAACTTTATAAACATGACAATGTTGTTTGAGCTATATTTATTTTTTTTTCAAAATCATTTTTATCCGAAACTTAGTGGGTAGTATGTTGGAGTTATTAAAGTACAAATTTAATTTACCTTCTTTATTTCACTGACCGTTTTCTGTTGTATTATTTAAGTAATTTGAACTAACAAATTGTATTGAAATTTTCTACTTTTAAAAGTATCTTCTAAGCTGGCCGAACCTCATGAAATATTATTGGTTTACGGCCGAAAAATATCGTAAACACCAGAGTACTCAAGTGAAGAAACAAGGTATTTTAGTCTCTATAAGCATTAATGAGAGAAAAGTATATTTAATTAGCTATACTCATTATCAGGTTGATTTTTAGTTTCGCTCTGAGTATGTAGTTTGCTTTGATCAGAAGTTAATATTGATAGAGACCAGTAGCTTGGCGTATAACCATTTACACTTGGATAAAGAGGTCAGTATTTGGATGTATGACCATTAAACTAATACACTCGGATATAAAGGCCAGTATCTGAATGTATGACCATTAGGCTAATAAACTAGGATATAAAGACCAATATCTGTGTGTATGGCTATTAGGGTAATAAACTCGGGTATAAAGACCAGTATCTGAATGTATGGCCATTAAACTAATACACTCGGGCATAGAGGCCAGTATCTAGATGTATGGCCATTAGTCTAATACACTCGGGTATTGAGGCCAGTATCTAGATGTATGGTCATTAGATTAATATACTCAATTATATATGGCAGTATCTATACATATGGCCATTAGGCTAATACACTCGGGTACAAAGGTCAGTAAATGAATGTATTGTCATTAAACTAGTATAATAATGTATTCTGGATTCAAATGCTGATGTAATTCACTACAGGGCTACAACGTTTGGAGTGATTAACTCGAGTGTAGTTGTTTGTAATAGATGTATGGCGTCTGGGCTAACACACTCGAGCATATATGCATGCAATCAAATATACGATAGCTGAGGTAATACACTCTGGTGTAGGTGCCTCTATCTGAAATATACAGCTGCTGGAATAATTATTTGAGGAAAGGGGGATAAGTGTTTAAAATTGAAAAAATATATACATTTTAATTGTGTCGTTGAAAAAAAACATCTAAAAGCCCTGAGCATTTCTTTACGTAAGTAATGATTAATTTATATATGTAGGCTTTTAGTTCTGTGCAGCACGTAAAAATTGACTGTAGCAGAGGAATGTCCTAGATGTTTTGTTTTTATTTTCAGACAGGTTGAAGTACTCGTCCTTTGTCCGAGTTATGAACTTAAAAAAGTGTGTGGGTGAATGCTGTGATAAGTAACACAAAAATCCTAACTTTTATACAATTTAGTTACAACATAACATATTATTGAATTATTCACTATTACCTCACCAAAAGTTTTGTATAAGCTTTTAAGATCTCAATATCTATATACTTAATACATAGTTATACACTGTGCGATTGTCAGGGTGAGTTTGCAGGAAGAGGTAGCGACCAAAGTAATGGTGATAGCGGTGCTTTTTGCTAACCAGCTCTCAATGTCCTTCCATAGTGTTTCATGTGATTAATTAATAGACGGTCATTGGTTGCAAAAACGTATTACGAGCTGAAGTTGAATGTAGAAAGTTGGTATAACTCAAAAAACGGCTCTTCATATCAGCCTTATGGTTGCTATTGGAGTAGAAACTTCAGCTGAGTTTATGTATTATTGCGATAGTGGTGGCCATTTTTCATTGCATTCCTCCATAGAGAGTGGTGTCCCACTTTCTGAGATATATAAGACGTTTGTGTGCCCTCACCCCCGCACTGTGTGTATGCTGTTATAAAGAATTTAATATTTGTTTCTGGTGTAAGAATGTGGCGCCATCTATGAATGTAGTTAACGTTAAATTACGTCAAAGATAATAAATGCTCGATAACAGCAATAATGAGGGTGGAAGGAGCTATGAATTAACCACTAACATGCCCCTTGTTCCAAACTACCATCTCACAAAGTTTTGTTGAGAGTTGACCAGCGACCTAGGAGTAGTTAACTAAAGGACAGACAGACAGACACACAGATTTTTGTGCTTTATATATAGATAGATAATATAACTACTTATCCCACACGTAGGAAGCGTTAATCCTGATAATAAATACGGGCTTTAAGAAGTTATACCTTCTAATTCTCTACCTGAAAACTTGTTACTCATACATCTTCCAGATAAATATGATATCTTAAGTGACTTTTATGATATCATCTCATATAATGTACTGGCGATGTCTTCAAACTGTCCCTTGTGTATTTTACAGGAGACTTTGTCTGAGCAAAGATTTGTTCTATGAGGTAGAGTAGAATTCGCCTCAAAGACACTGTTTATTCCGTGTGGTCCGTATAAACATTATACTAATACAAATATATAGCTACACTTCTAATACACTTTTTATTATACACGACATGATATTCATCATTTGAATAGCAAACATAACTTTAGTGGAAAGTTACAACCCACTATCTTACAAACTTCCCATTACAATAAATATTAATTTCAGGTAGTTATCTTTTCACTACCGAAAACTTTACTAAGGGACATAGTTGTATATATATATATTTAGTCGTTTTTTAATCACACCAAGAAAATTAGGAAAGCAAACATTTCAAATAGCCAAAGAAATAACGTCTGAATGCAATACCAAAAATCAATACATCATTAGTTATGTGCACGCTTCACGTGTTATGTTGTAGAAACGCATGAATGTCTCAGTGCATTTTGCATGTGCTACTCCCACTAGAGAGATAGTAGCCCCATTTGATCGTCAGATTTGACCATACTTGTTGTTGTTTTTATGATGGTTAAGTGTTATTACTGTTACTATACAATTCTGTGAAAATGTTAACTACTGGTAGTGGAAGTGCGAATTTTTTTATTATTATTTTTGCCTGGAATACTAGAAATGCTCAAATATTGAAAACCAGAAAAGTATAGAAACAAATGTCAGATCGTTTTGGTATATCCAAGATCGTGATTGGTAGGTTACAAGCATGTTATCAGAAAAGTGGTCTGTAGTGAGAGCAATCTGTACAAGGTCGTGTAAGAGTAATTACACTGTATAATAACCAGTTTATACATAACATTGCAATTAGTAAATGCCATTCCAATGTCCAAAGATTCAATATGGACTTTGGAACAGCAAATGGGGTAGTTATCAGTTATCAGAATAAAGATATGGGCCGTGATAATATTTGCTAATTTACGTTCGAAACGTATTAAACTTTTATTAAACTATGCTCTCTCAAATTGGGATTAAGTTGACCTTCTTATTAATAGGCCTAAACTTAATTAACGACCCAAATGTATATCAACAAGCTATTTCTCTAGATGAAACTTAGTTCTAGAAACTGTGACAAAAAGACCTTATTGACACAGTTTTGTCAAAGTATAAATTATAAACTATACATATAGTTCTTCACTTAAATATATCATTGATAACATGGCTAAAGATATGCATTACCGGCACTTGTGTTTAAAATTTTTAAAAATTATAATAAATAATTAAAAACAACGTTTTATATTTACACAATAAAAACTTTATTGAAGTGATATTTCTATTTTAAAGTGGAAGCCGTACGGCTTCAATAAAGTTTTTATTGTGTAAATATAAAACGTTGTTTTTAATTATTTATTATAATTTTTAAAAATT